AAATTATGTAAGGTACTTAGGACACTAATAATTACCCAAACAATTCACAAATTGTATTCGATTAATAGGTAAAAATCAACTATTAATTTGGGATTAAGTACATTTTACCCTCAACATCAAAAGTGACGTATTTCAACTTGCGCTTTTTGTATTTTAGGGGTAAAATCCACTCCTTTTGTTAAAAATGGTAAAATATGCGTTCTGGCATAAGTAATCTCGATTAATTAAATAAAATAAACATTTTGCATTATTTATAAGCATAATTTATGATTTTAATTAATTTTTCAACCCTTTTAGCAACTATCCCTTAAATCGAAAATCATGAAAAAATCATTTTTTATATTTCTGAAATATCAAATCGCATATTAATATTACCCAAATAGTTTCTTTAATGTTTATGATATAATTTTTGATTGACTGTGAAATTTCAACCCTTAAAAACCACCCCTTAAAGCAGAATCATTGAAAAAATTAATTTCAAGAAACTTTAATTATTTGAATAATACATTACTGAATTGAAATCTCATTTACTGAGTATTAAAGTATTTATTTATCTATTGCGTAATTTTGCACCCTTAAAAACTACCCCTTGTCATAAAAATAATGGAAAATGTTTTTTTATTAGCTTTAATCATTTAGAAACTTTTTTATTGGTTGTGATAAAACTTTATTAATATATTCCAAACTTTATTAATATTTTTCTTTCCACATTTCCTGAATAATTTTTTCAGTGCTTATGTGACTCATAAAAATTTAATTTTCCGCAAATCGCCAGGAAATTTTGACATTCCTGTCAAAATTTCTTGAAGAAAAACTCAGGACTTCCTTACTGTAAGGAAATGTCATTTCCTTACTGTCTTCTTCTTTAAGTTCCATCTTCTATCGAAGGTTGGAAATCATCATGGCTATGCGGACTCTGTTGACTGCCGCTCTAAAAAGTTCTGCACTACTGCATTCAAACCATTCCCTCAAGTTCTTAAGCCAGGATATTCTTCGTCTTCCCACATTTCGCTTTCCTCGGATTTTGCCCTGCATAATAAGTTGTAATAATGCGTATTTTTGCCCTCTCATCACATGTCCCAAGTACTCAAGTTTTCGTCTTTTAATAGTTAATATTATTTCCGCCTCATTTCCTATCCTTCTAGTTACTTCCATGTTTGACATTCTTTGAGTCCATGATATTCGTAGGATTCTTCTGTAACACCAAAATTCAAAGGCGGCCAACTTATTCAGATGAACTTGTTTTAGTGTCCAAGCTTCCAGACCATAAAGAAGAGTAGAGAACACGTAACATCGAAGCATTCTCAGGCGTAGTTCTAACCTTATATCCCGACAACAAAGAAACTTTTTAAGTTTAATAAATGATGTACGTGCTATTTCAATACGTGTCTTAATTTCTTTGGTTTGGTCTACATCTGATGTTATCCATGTTCCTAAGTATTTATAGTTATTAACACTCTCAATTGCAGTATCTTCAATAGTCAATTGGATATTTGCATGTGCAGATTTAGTCATGATCATGCATTTAGTTTTCTTTAAATTTATCTTCAGTCCGTACTCATGACAGCGTTCATTAAGGCGTTGCATTACGTTCTGTAAATCATTGTTGTTATCCGTAATTATTACTGTATCGTCTGCAAAACGTAAGTTATTCAAAACTTCTCCATTGATAGATATACCTTCTATTGAGTCTGAGAGCGCTTCTTGAAATACCGCTTCACTGTAGACATTGAAAAGTAGTGGGGACAGCACGCAACCCTGGCGGACTCCTCTCTGTATTTTGATATTTTGTTCCTTACTGTAAGGAAATGATATTTCCGTACAGTTGTTAGTGTTCTACATAAATTAAATTTATAAGCGTCAAGTTTGACAATTCAATCTCAATACGTTTCCATAGTAACCCAAGTAATTTTATTAGGAATTTCAAAGCACCATTTATTTGGGAATAAAATTATCGCGTTTTTTTTTAAATCAATCAATATCTGTCGAATTTTAAACGATTTGCGGAAAAATAGTATGTTTACCTCGTAGGAAAAGCCACATTCCTGGACTCTGTGTTGCTAAGTCTCGGCTTGCGCCTCGACTTAGCAATCTTCACAGTCGTCCAGGAATGTTAAGCTTTTCCTACCCGGTAAATAATGTACTGGTTAGTTAAGAGGAAAACGTATTAAAATAAATATTAAAATATATGAAAAGTTCATTTATTTTTTATTTAAGTAAAATTGCAAAAAATCATTTTTAACAATTATCCTGCAGCAGGTGGATTGGGATTTTTAGTTGGAAACAAAGACTCTTTAATTTTGCACCATTCCCAGGCAACTAAACGAATGTCTTTATTTCCAAGCCATGTCTGGGTTTGTAAATAATCTCTTTTGATGTTTTCATCCAATGCAACAACCGTTGGGACCAGAGATGAAAACTTTACTGCACTATTTTTAGTGGTAATAATGGTGAGTTTTTGTCAGTTCTTCTGTCATGCGCGGCCCCCTGCGGGGGATGCTCTCTGTGTATTCTTAGAACCGATACCCAGAGGGTAGCAGGGATACCTGTTGTGGAACAAAAACTGACACCTGGCAGTAGGTATAAAATGCACACCCATGAAAATGGAGTTTAATAATTTATGTTTAGGGTCGCTGCCTGGAGATCGCCAGGGCACGTCTAGAGCCGACGCTGGACGTGACAGCATGCGGGACGTCGGTGGCAGGGTGTTGATGAGGCGGGCCCCGATCATACAATCAGCTACAACCCAACAACAAGAAGAACCACAAATGAGCCAAACAACAACAAGAGCTCCACTCGCTGAAGGTGCTGCGCTAGAACATCAACCGGGGCTCACTCAAGCGGAACGAAAATATTTTGCAAGAAACGATCGGCTATCGACAACAGCTGTATGCCGAATTTTGCAGGGAGTACCCAGAATTCCAAGTATCTGAACAAAGAGTAGCAGACCAATACCGGGTAATTTTAAGAAACAATCTTATCCCAGAGACTAGATGCGACATTATCAGAAGCAAAATTAAACGGGAGAACCATAACCAAGAGCAAGTTGCAGACCAAGTTCCTAAAGAAATCCCTAACGAGCAGATTCCTGAGCTTCTCATATAAGAAACTCAACCTAATAATACACAGCAGGACAATAACGAGTTACACGATATTCTGGTAAACGAGATGGCACACGCCGTACAAGAGTTTAGTGGCACAAACCCACTTAGCAGACCTCCGCTACCAAAAATAAACTCTTCTAAGAAACTAGAAGCTCTCTTACAAATTGTGAATACCGAAGTTCTACCCACAGTAGAATGAGGAAGCCTACAAATTGGAATATTTGCATATGCTGATTTACTGTGCAGCAACAGCAATTGCTAATGTTGTGGGCTTTAAGATCAGAACACGACAGGGTACCAACATCTGAAGGACTGGTAATAGAATAGCACCCTGGGAAAAACGACTGCTGAGGAAGATTGAATTACTGCGTAGGGACATTGGACAAATAACAGAATACATAAGGGAAGTAAGAAGTAGAAAAATCATTCAAAGAGCTGAAGAAATATTGTTTAACACTCTAAGACACTCACGGCATGATCCAGAAAACAACACACCTCAACAATGCCTGGACATATTAAAACAAAAACTATCTGTTTACTCAGGCAGCCTGAGGAGATACAAAGTTAGTAACAACCGGAAATGCGACAATATACTTTTTGGGCTAGCAGAGAAGACTTTCAATAGGAAACTTAATTCCACTGTAGAAAATGCAAATAAATCCTACCCAAGCCAAGAAGAAATTCATGAGTTTTAGGGAAACCAACTGTCGACGCCAGCTACTCATAACAACAACGCTATTTGGAAGATATCCCTATTAACCGGGGCCTTTTCCATGGGGATTGGTTAAGTCCAATTTGGTTCTGCCTAGCGATAAACCCACTATCTCAACTGCTGAACTCCACTGATTCAGGATTTAGAATTAAAAATAACAACACTGTTGTGGCTTAATCGTCTGTTGTATATGGATGATTTAAAATCAACGGCTTCCACTCGAAACCACCTATCATTACCACGTATCACAACGTAATAAGGGGACATAGGACTTATGGATATAGGTGAGCAATTGGATAAACAAATTGCTAATTTAAGAACTTATTTTCAGGTACAGGCTGAGATCTCTAATTTACATCGAGGAATTTGCGCAGTAGATGATACGACGCCGCTTAAACTAAGGGAACAAGAAATGCGCATAAACCACCTGGAAAAAATGCGCACCTGGATGAGTAAACCTCTGCATGGGCGACATTTCAATAACATCAGCCAAGAATATGTCCACAATACAGCGTCAACATTTGGTTAACATTAGGAAAGATGTTTCCCCAGACTGAGGGTTTTCTACTTACCACTCAGGATCAGGGATATCTAACAGGATACTAACACTTATTGATGTGGCGACACCCAACACCAATAATATACGTGTTAAATACAACGAAAAGATCACCAAGTACAGATATCTAGAAATACAAATCAGGAGACAATGGAGAATGAAAAGTACCCAGACAGTACCTATTATTCTATCTACTACTGGTGTTATGCTAAAAACCTCCTAGAGAACATGAAACAGGCTGGGTCTAAATGAACATCTTTATAAGGCCATACAGAAAGCTGTACTCCTCGCGAGGTCCAGATGTGTACGAAAATTTTTGGAGATACTCCAACATACCAAGTCACCTCGGACTCGATAACATGGAAAGAGTCCACCAGAGCTCAATCCTTTTGATACCGTAGGTATCTGGGATGAGTGAATTTTCCCCTTAGAGGGAGTGTGAGCCGTATGGCTAAATCTAAATAATAATAATAACAATTAAATAAACAGTTTTTTTAAATGAATTAGAGTAACAAAAATAACGGTTCCGTTCTTAAATAACGTTTGCCCGTCACGATTTCGTCCTTTACACATCCCGGGTGACATCTTAAGATTAAAGTCAACGCGCATCACATTACCGCAGATTGTGCGAGAATTGAATCCAGAAACGCATCTCCGTGGAATTAAATAATTAAAGCTCTTAGTACTAAATGCGCTCGCCAAATCATGTTGGTGATAAAGCCAGTGATCATTGATGTGTTTGTTTTTGGAATTTTGTCTCTTGCAGGTAGGATTAATATGTATATTTTTTTCTAGATTAATGTATGTATGTAGCGTCTGTTGTGCATTTCTTTTTAGATTTATAAAAACATAAATTTTCTTTAAATTGTCATTAAGGTGCCTCAGTTTTTATTTGTATTTTGTTTCTAAATATTTGGTTTACACCTTTTTCTTTTAGTCTTTAATGCATTTGAATTACATATTTCAGAAAACCCATAATTCCATTTTTATAAAATGTTGAGAAATTAAAAAAAACCTTATTTCATGAAATATTTTTAAAAACCTGTTGTGCTTTTGTAATAAAATCATGAGATTAATGTGTTTTAATCAGTTTGCATAAAAAAGTGGTGAATTTTAGCTTTATATGTTTTTTTTTCTTTTTTACTTTTGTGGATTTTTGGGTTTTTGAAATATACACATTTTTCAAGGATGTCAAAATAAGAAAACATTTTTTATTCAAAAATATGGGCATACAGAATAATATATCAGTAGTTATCACTCATCTGGTTGGATTATTTCATTTGAATCTCCCTCGCATGTTGGTATAAATTAAAAATAATAAATTAAAAATTAAAGTTATAAATTAAAAATTTCTCCGTAAAAGTCCTTGACTTCTTCATTATCTGGTAGATACTTTTCCAGTTTTCTAAAGTCTTGCATCTTTTTGATATTAATAGGAATATTTCCTTTGGTGTATGCTTTTCTTGTAGGGAAACTAATAACATCCTTACAATGATCTATCAAGCCATCTATGTACTCTATTGTAATAACAATTCCATCGTAATCACTCGAATGAATAAAGTGTCGAAAGTTGGATATTTTAAAAGCAATTTTTTGATCTCTTGGAATATTTCTGCCCAAAGATTCAGTGGAGAGCATCGTCTTTTTAAAATATGTAGGCCACTGTCCTTTAAAGTTCAATATGTTGTCAGAATTTGGCAAAACTACAGTAAATCGGTTTAAACTCTTGTTAGATGTTATGATAAGCTCTACATACTTTTTAACGTGTAAATCCTGTCTGATTTTTTAATTTTCCTTTTAAGAACGAAAAAATCCCGATCACACGGTAGAAATGAATGTCCCCGTGTGGGATAATATTGTTCAATCTTTTTTGAATCTATTGGTTGAAACTAATGCAGAAAAAAGTCTAACTATTGTATGGTTCTTGTTCTGGGCGGCACATACATCAGAAAAGAAGTGACAATTGTTCTGAAGCTATTTTATTGTGGCATTTTAAATTAATTACTATTTGGGAAAATAAATACTTATGGGAATAAGACACAATTAAAGGTTAAAGTACGTTTATTGACGTTTCAATTTGAATTGAATTTTAAATAAACGTATGATTTGGAACCACTGGTAATTATTTTTTACGGACATGCGAATTACCTTGTAATTTGAACGGTGAGATTTATTTACATTTTTTATAAAATGATTTTATTGATTTATTGGAAGAATTGTCATCAAACTTAAGGCGAAATATGTGGTTTATGCAAGATGGTACACCACCACATTATAGAGAGAGGGCAGTGAGAAGATACTTAAATACAACTTTCTTGAACGTTGGATTGTTCGTGGTAGTCATATTCCTTGGTCATGTGTTGAGATATTGATATAATTACTTAATGCATAAAAATCCCAAAAGAATACTTATTATTATACTTATAATACTTATAATAAATACTGCAACAGTTTCTTTAGAACCAATGATGCTATTTAATATGAGACGTTCTTTTATGGAATGTATTGACAAATGACTTACTTTGACAAAAAGTTTAATGTTATTTAGCTTAACTATTTCTTAATTTGGTTTGTAAATAAAATATTTTGATTATGACTTTAATTTAATACAAAACATAAAATGTTTGTAATATAAAACTATTATTCTGTTATTTTGTCAAATCCTTCTAACTATCCTGCTGATATATTTATTTTATTTAATATTTCGTTAACTATTAACTTTATTAAAGGCATTTTATACCAAAATTCAGAAGTATTGATGTTTTTATCTAATTTTCTTTAGTTGCGTGGAGTGATTGCGTTAAATCTGAATTATGTAGTTGATTTGTAAAATGCGATTATCTAGAAAACTGTTGAGTTTTAAAGTTATTAACAAGTATATTTTTTTTGTTAAAATAATGTATCTTTAATATTTTTTATCACAAATACCGGTAACTTAAAGAACAAAAAGTTGCATTAAATTGTAATTCCTGATATTTAATAGTACCCAGCTATAAATTTTGATTAATAAGTATTCATAAACATATAATATTAAAGCCATTTGGCTTAAATCGTAATATTTTAAAGTGTAGAATGTACGGTTTCTTTTTGTACAATTACTTAAAGACCAACCCGTATATACAAAAAAATTATCATGGGTTCATTTGTACTGAGAAGTACTTAACAAATCTAAAAAACTAGTGCATATGAAACATAAAAAAGCAATTTCTTTTACTTTGAAGGCACAAATGGACATTGCACTTCTGACATTTCTATTTTGATTTTCCTGTACAACCAGGGTTTTTGCATCTTAAAGGTAAAGGTAGCTGTGGGTGCTCTGGAAAATGTCTGATATATTATTGCGCCTAGTAAGAGGTCTAATTTCAATGTTTTGGCGTTTTGCCGCTTTATTGGAGGCATTTTACTCTGAAAATAAAAATAACACTTTCTATCATAAGTCATTTTGGATACAATTGTGCCCATCGAATTTAAGGTTCACTTCTATATCTGAAAAAAGTCAAATTTCAATAAAATATATTCACAATTAGTAAGAAGTAACAACACTACTTTCAACATTGCACTGAAAAAAAAACCGCTATTGACTTTTATTTCTTCTTCTTCTTCAAGTTCCACTCCTATCGGAGATTGGAAATCATTCTGGCAATTATAATTTTATTAAATAATTGATGGATTCGACCGTTACTTGATGGAAATTCATTTTATGTAACAATAAAACACTGAAAACTTTGTTTTCAAACTTCCACAAAATTTATTTTAAATATTATCACTACAGCTGTTTCGGCTGATTGCCTTTCTCAAGTGATCTATTTTGGCTTGGGTTTACAAATTTATAGTCTCTAATGAAATAGGTTGAGGAGGGGAGAACTGTTTGTCTCAAGTTGGTCATTCAGAATTATATCTGTGTTTTTTAATTTGTTGATTTCCATAGATTCTAACAAAGATAGCTTAAGGCCTTTATTTTGAATGTGAAGAATTTTAAATTTGTCATTAAAAGAATGATTATGATCTAGAAGGTGAAGTGCGTATGTCGAATCTGTTTTTCTATTCTTGAAAGCCCTTTTATGTTCTGCTATTCGTTTATCAAAGTTTCTACCAGTTTGACCGATGTAAGTTTTTGGGCAGTCGCCACATTGGAGTTTGTATACACCACTATTTAAGTGTTTTTTATTTTGGCTCTTGTTATTTTTAATATATTTGCCTAGGTTGTTATTTGTTCGGAAAGCTGGTGTTATTCCTTTCTTTTTTATGTGTTTGGCAATTTTTGTTGTTATTTTGCCTGTATATGTAATCGAGCAGAAGGTACTGGGTTTTTTCTCTGGTGGTGGAAATACTAATTTCAGGGCTTTCTTGTGTAGTTTTTGATTTAACATTTTATTAATTGTTTGTTCGTTGTATCCGTTGTTTACTGCTATTTGTTTAATTATTTAATTCTGTCTCAAAAGACAACTTTGAGACAGAATTAAATATAATTAAACAAATAGCAGTAAACAACGGATACAACGAACAAACAATTAATAAAATGTTAAATCAAAAACTACACAAGAAAGCCCTGAAATTAGTATTTCCACCACCAGAGAAAAAACCCAGTACCTTCTGCTCGATTACATATACAGGCAAAATAACAACAAAAATTGCCAAACACATAAAAAAGAAAGGAATAACACCAGCTTTCCGAACAAATAACAACCTAGGCAAATATATTAAAAATAACAAGAGCCAAAATAAAAAACACTTAAATAGTGGTGTATACAAACTCCAATGTGGCGACTGCCCAAAAACTTACATCGGTCAAACTGGTAGAAACTTTGATAAACGAATAGCAGAACATAAAAGGGCTTTCAAGAATAGAAAAACAGATTCGACATACGCACTTCACCTTCTAGATCATAATCATTCTTTTAATGACAAATTTAAAATTCTTCACATTCAAAATAAAGGCCTTAAGCTATCTTTGTTAGAATCTATGGAAATCAACAAATTAAAAAACACAGATATAATTCTGAATGACCAACTTGAGACAAACAGTTCTCCCCTCCTCAACCTATTTCATTAGAGACTATAAATTTGTAAACCCAAGCCAAAATAGATCACTTGAGAAAGGCAATCAGCCGAAACAGCTGTAGTGATAATATTTAAAATAAATTTTGTGGAAGTTTGAAAACAAAGTTTTCAGTGTTTTATTGTTATATAATTTTATTGGTTACTCGCCTGAATAGTTCAATTGAACTGCATCCAAACCACTCACGGAGATTGCGTAGCCACGAGATTTTACGTCTTCCTACGCTTCTTCTACCTTTGATTTTACCCTGCATTATATTCCTTAGTAGTTCGTACTTTTCACCTCTCATGATGTGCCCCAAGTATTCCAATTTCCTGATCTTTATGGAATTTAAAACTTCGCATTGTTTTCCTAGTTGTTCGAGAACTTGTTCGTTTGTTTTGCGATCCATCCATGATATTTTCAAAATGCGTCGGTAACACCACATTTCGAATGCTTCTAGGTTTTTAATGTTGGATTTTTTAAGTGTCCAAGCTTCAACTCCATACAAAAGGGTAGAGAAAATATAACATCGAAGCATTCTTATCCGGAGCGATATATTGATATCGCGATTACAAAAAAGTTTTCTCATTCTATTAAAAGTTGACCGCGCAATTTCAATGCGGCATCTTATTTCTTTTGTCTGATCAGTATCTTCTGTGATCCATGCTCCAAGGTATTTGTACGAAGATATTTGTTCAATTTCTGTATTATCTAGTACTAGCTTA